AGTTATAAAATAAGGTTCACAGAAACAATGTTTGATAGTTTTAATGCATGTTGATGATAAACATTTTAAGTTGTGAACAAGTTTTAGTATTGATCGATTGAGCGAAAGACCAACTCGACCACTGCGTCAACGCCTTAAATAAACAAAATATGAGAGCTGGAGCGAGCTTCTAAGACCAACCCACTGATTACATGTACAACGCTGATTGGCTGGATAAGGATCAGCCCACTTGGTTGATGACGTATGCAAGAGTCACTGAACCCTCATTATAAAAGGGCGTGCACAGCACCTGAACCTTCAGTGGACTGACGGAGTAAAGATTAACTTATGAAACGTTAGAAACTCAACCTACAGAACAACGACCGAAAGACAAGAACGCAAAACGACGAAGATCGAGAAGTAGAGAAGAGAAGACGGAAGAGAACATTATTGAACTGTAGTAAAACCTTGTAAAGATCTCCTACCTCGCGTATAGAGAAAATAAAGACTTTCAAACAACTTGGTGGAGGAACGGCCTCATGAGCAACCCGCAGGAACCGTACGTTCGATACATTCCTGTAGTATTTGTGCCAACGCCAACCGAAACGAACCCGGTAACAACCGCCGCCACCCAAACAGCAACGACAACAACAAAAGACGCGGCGACCCAAACGGAGAGTCCGTTAAGTTTGGAATTGGGGAGTATATGCGAAAATTGCGACTCGAAGTTCCAAAGTCCCGCTACTGTGAGCCAGAATATCGTATAGTTCCAGCTGGATACGAAGACGATTCGGAAGACGAACTACTCCCAGTGTTGAGCTGGTCGTAAGTTGGCATATTGACTAAATCGATCAATTTACATACTTTATATCTGTATAATAACGTTGCTCTATATCTAGTCTAGTAATATGTTTTACATATAAAAGAGAGTTTTACAGTTTAATGAGCGTAGCAGAATCTAGTTCTGAAAACGACGAGCCAATTGCTAGGCGAACGCGATCTCATAATATAGGTTCTCTCGGGTTGGACCCTGCGCGTTGGTGTACACGAAACTGTACATCTTTGGGTGGGAACGAGCCTTCTGTTCTTTTGGATACTTCTGATTCAGATACTTCCCTCTCTTCATTGTCATACTTAGAAACCGAATTTCCTGCTTTCCCCAGGGCCCCAATAATGGATGAGCATGCCCAAGCCTTACCACAGGGTCTCCTCGAATTACTACAACAAATGACCGACAGACTACAGGAACAACAAAATCAAATTGTAGGGGCGCCTCCCAGAGCTAGTGGTCTTCCACCGCCAGTTTTTCGTGGTTCCCCCACTGAAGACTACGATGAATGGTTACAAAAATTTAACAGTTACGCTACATTTAATGGGTGGACCCCTGAGCAACAGTTAAATGGGTTTATAATGTTTCTTGGTGGTAGCGCGCTACGCGTTTGTCAGCGTCAAACTGATGAAGTTCGCGCAGATTTAGAAGCGTTACAAGATGCTTTAAGACAAGTATTTGTATCACCACATCAACAGTTCCTCCGGCGCCAAGAACTAAATAACCGCACGCAAGGTCCAGTAGAGCCGCTTGAAAGTTACCTTGATGATGTTGACGCTAGAGCAGCGCGATTACAGCTTACAGATGCAGAAACTATGCAATGTTTTGTTCAAGGACTACGTCAAGATCTGAAAGAGCATGTTATTTTGCAGCTACCAGATACATATGCCGCCGCTGTTGATGCCGCGCGTTTGAAAAATTCGCTTTCGCATCCAATAACTGCAGCTCTAACAAGCCCAAGTTCGCGTACCTTAACGCCTATAGATTTTGTTTCGTCGCACTCAACAGCACACGTTCAAACAACACGTAATCCTCATAGCCATTCTGATCAGTTTCCGAATTACGTTACTCGTGAAGAATTTACGAGGTTACAAAATCAAGTTCAGGCTACTTCGCCGATTCCAAGATCGAGAGTAGGACCGGCACAATTAGTTTCAAATGCTTACAATACTTCACGTAATCGTCGCACTACGGATGGGCGACCAATTTGTAATCGTTGTAATAGAGTCGGGCATATTGCAAATCGATGTTTTGTAAATTTGAACCGCCCAAATTTCTCACAGGGCCGAACAAATCTTAATGCGCCCAGAGGCTCATTATTTCAGCCGCAACATTACACACAGGGACAAACTGTAAGAAACAACTTTCAAAACCACCCAAAATCAAACCTTTATTCAGCAAGGCCTACCCGCTTTCCAGCATTGCCACCACCTCCCCCACCCCCACCGCCGATGAATGTATACAGCAAGAAGCTGCATATACCTCTAATCCATACCACGACGAACCCTGTTTTCTCTTTGCACGGAAACGTCCAAATCCAAATAATACATATATTTGTCAGAAACTTCGCAAAACATATTATTTGACTGTGGCTGGAAAAATCGAAGGCATTGATACTAATATTCTCATTGATACGGGTTCGGCTATTACCGTTATTAATCAAGCTTTCTGGGAGAAAATTCGACAAAATTCGAGATTGGCTTTAGGAACATCTGGGCAATGTAAAACAGCGCAGACCGCGAGTGGTGAAATAGTTCAGGTTTTAGGTGATGTAAATCTGGAATTTCATATAGGCAACACTAGTTATATGGTAAAAACATGTGTTTTACCTAAGCTTCATTACATCGCTATTTTAGGAAAGGATTTTCTTGAGCGCTTTGATTGTATCATAGATTTTAAATCTGGGTATTTCAAAATTGATCGTGACAATATTGTTATGCTTAATACACCTAGTACGCGTCAAATTGAGACTACCGACCACGAACCAACAGTCGAAATAACGAAAGACCCATTACCATTCGCAGATGTAGAAACTGAACCTCATGAGAATTCAGGATATATCATTTATGCAGCTGATACTCATGTTATTCCTCCAAATTCAGAATGTGTCATCCCAGCAACATTTAAGGACAATTATATAACTGAAATAACGGGTTTGATTGAGGTTAACTCAAATTTACCGAAGCGATTTAATGTTTGTGGCGCCGCAGCGCTTGTGTACGTATCCCCATCAGGTCTTGTCCCCTTTCGGTTGGTAAACCCTACTGAAAAACCGGTTAAAATTTATAGGTATACTACGTTGGGCACGTTTTTTAAACAAAGTGAGATTAGCAATATTATGTCTTTATCAGCAGAACAAACATATAACCATGATTTATCCACTGAGCAGAATTCTTTAGCTGAACAAACAGATGATGAATTTGACATTTCACCAGACCTGACGACTGATCAATTGAATGCATTACATGGCTTTTTATCAGATAATGCAGATATTTTTTCGCAAGGCACACACGATTTAGGAAGAACTTCCATTGTTAGACATCAAATTTTTACTGATGGTTCTCCACCTATACGACAGAGACCATATCGCACTGCACCAACACAACGTGATACGATAACCGAACATATTCAGACAATGCTTGAGGCCAACATTATTGAACCTTCAGTCAGCCCATGGGCAAGTCCAGTAGTGCTTGTAAAGAAAAAAGACGGTTCAACTCGTTTTTGTGTTGATTACAGGAAACTGAATGCTGTAACAAAAAAGGACTCTTATCCTTTACCACACATTCAAGAATCATTGGACTTATTAGGCCAAACACAATTCTTTACCACCTTAGATTTGTTTTCTGGCTATTGGCAAGTAGAAATGGACGAATCGTCCAAAGAATTAACTGCATTCACCACTTATGATGGCCTATACCAATTCAATGTACTGCCTTTTGGATTATGTAACGCCCCGTCTACGTTCCAGCGGTTGATGGAAAACGTTTTACGCGGACTAAACTGGAAAATATGTCTGATATACATCGATGACATAATTATATTCTCGCATTCCTTTCAAGAGCATCTACAACATTTGAATTTGGTATTTTCGCGCCTAAGACAAGCAAACATTAAACTTAAGTCTACTAAATGCCATTTTGCATTTTCTAAAGTCAAATACTTAGGCCACATTGTTTCGAGAGAAGGAATTCAGCCAGACCCAGATAAAATCAGCGCAGTAAAAGATTTTCCTGTTCCAAAAAAGATTAAGGATATTCGTAGTTTTCTTGGCTTAGCTAATTATTATCGTCGCTTTGTGAAAGACTTCTCAAAAATTGCCAAACCACTGACGCAGTTACTCCATAAGAATGTAAAATTCCAATGGACCGATGCTTGTCAACTAGCTTTCGATATCTTAAAAACGGCATTAATATCAGCTCCAATTCTGTGTTACCCTGATTTCACAAAACCATTCGATCTTTATGTGGATGCAAGTTTAGACGGATTAGGCATGACTCTAGGACAAATACAAAACCACCGGGAAGTTGTCATTGCATACGCAGGGCGCAGTTTAAATTCGGCAGAGCTCTCGTATTCCGCTACAGAGAAAGAAGCGTTGGCAGTAATCGACGGTATAAAGAAATTCCAACCGTATTTGTATGGGCATAAGTTCACGGTTCACACAGATCATAACGCTTTAAAATGGCTTATGAGTGTCAAAGATGTCACCGGAAGATTAGCGCGTTGGTCGTTATTTATCCAGCAATTCGATTTTGAAATAAAACACCGCCCAGGCATAGCTAATGGCAATGCTGATGGTCTTTCGCGACGCGCTTATCCAAGCACTGATACCTTAGCTGCTTTAAAGCCTGTCCCAACTGAGCTAGCACGAATTCATGAAATGCAACGAAAAGATGCGGATTTGGCACCACTTATTACATATCTAGAAACAAAAACACTGCCAGGCGATGAGAAAAGTTCCAGAACTATTTTACATCAAGCGGACCAATTTCTATTAGACGAACATGGCTTACTGCATCATTTGTTGACTCCGGCGGGGCGAAATCGTCCCGATACTAAAATTCAACTAGTCATACCCACTCCCTTGCGTTTCGAAATATTAAAATCATTTCATGATAGCCCGCTAGGCGGACATTTAGGCTTAGAAAAGACGTACGAGAAAATTAGGACGCACTATTATTGGTCCGGTATGTTCACTGACATACAGCATTGGGTAAGGTCGTGTATTGATTGTCAAACGCGTAAGACACCGCGAAATAGGATTAAGGCTCCTTTATTACCAATTCCTGTCGACGGAGCGTTTGATAGAGTCGCTGTGGATTGCTTAGGGCCATATCCGGAATCGTATTCAGGCAACCGATATTGTAGTGTTTTCAGATTACCTTACACGTTGGCCAGAGGCATTTGCAGTTTCGACAATTGAAGCCTCAGTAATAGCTAAATTGCTTGTGAATGAAATATTTTGTCGACATGGAGCGCCAAAAACGTTGCTTTCAGATAGAGGTAAAAATTTTCTGTCAAAGTTAATCCGTGAAGTATGCGGTCTCTTAGATATTAAGAAACTGAACACAACCGCCTATCATCCACAAACGGACGGGCTTGTCGAACGATTTAATAGCATTATTTCACAATCATTATCAATGTATGTGTCGGCAAATCAAAAAGACTGGGATGAGTTTTTACCATCAATATTGTTCGCGTATAGGACCTCACCACAGGCGACAACTGGGGATTCCCCATTCTATCTCCTATATGGGCGCGAACCACGCTTACCTATAGATGTCAATATATTACCGCCGCAAACTGATAAGCTCTCGACATCCATTGCGGAGCACAGGGCCCGTATCGTCTCTCAGTTAGAGGAAGCGCAGCGATTAGCTAAAGCAAACACAGAACGAACACAACAACAAATGAAAGCCCGCTATGATTTAAAGTCGAAACCAGATACCTATAGAATCGGACAACGAGTCTGGGTATTTACCCCAAAGACCCAAAAGGGTTTGTCAAAGAAATTGTTACATTGTTGGCATGGTCCTTATCGCATTGCGGAGAAAGTATCACCTGTCAACTTTAAGTTGAGGAATTTAGCAAATCGCCTAATCGCGACACCAGTACATGTCAATCGTATGAAACTCTTTTATGACGCAAATGAGCGACCAATTGAGCCTCCTAATGACTTAGTTGATGATGATTTTAGTATGCGCGAAGACGATATTCCACTTGACAGCTTTGAGACCACAAGCGACACTGAATCACACCCTGACGAGGAAACGCAAGAAATAACGTTGAAAACGCATGCCTCAAATGTGCCTAATCAGCCAGATCATTCTAATGACGATGAAATATACCAAATTGAAAAAGTTTTAAAGACACGCTTAAGAAAGGGTCAGAAAGAATACCTAGTAAAATGGTTAGGTTTTCCGAGTGAACAAAATTCGTGGGTGACAGAATCTGATATGGTAACACAAGAACAACCCTCTATCAACTCCTTGACCTTGACATCGAACCAGCAGCGGAATTCCAAGTTAGCACAACGCATTTTCAGATCAGTATATCATCTGGTCGCAATATTGATATTACTAGTAACATGTATCACAATAGGGTCTGCTCACCCCATTAATCTTGGACCTCTTTACGACTGTTCACGCGTATACCATACCGCACTATATAAGTTTACCGATTATTCACATTGTGAACATGATATGCACCTAAGTGATTCTAAAGTTAAATATTTCGAAGCTGATGTTTTGCAATATTCGCCAAGGAGCTCCAGTTTGCCTATTTTTCATTGCACTGCCCAACGATTACGGATGACGTGTTCTGAAAGTTTTTTCGGTCACAAAAGCAGACATCATACCTTGCATACAATTTCGGTTTCTAATCGCGAATGTATTAAAGCGGTAATTCATCATAAGACACGCTATGGAAAACTGAAACAGCATTCACATGGAGAATGGCGAACTCATACCCCTGATTCATATAGCTGTAAGTGGCTGAAAACTAGGACGAATACTTATATTCATTTTCGAGTGATTCAATATTTAGCACGACTTACAGGAAAGGATAGGTATATTCAACAGCACTTGACACATACTCATTGTCGTTATTCTCGATATTACTGTCGACCCCGCGAAAAACCTAAAAGTTCGATTGTTTGGAAAAAACTCAGGCACCATGATACCCGGTTGTATCATTCGCTTGGTAAATTTACAGCGCATCGCATTGATAATTATATACTTATTCCATCCTTGAGCATAAGTGGCACTGTTGTGAAAACCCGCGAAACGACAATTATGGTTCTTGATAGCGGATACGTTATAATTAATCTAGCACATCGTAACAGCACATTAGTACAACTCGAAAACAAATTGAAGTCATTAAAAATCAAGGATGTACACCTTAAAATACCCGGTCAAGGTGCAAGAAGGCTTGCACGCGTGTTCTCCATACAAGTTAACTTATTCGTTAGTCATTTAGCGGCCCTGTCGGAACAGGAACGTATCAACATGATTCGTGCATGGGAAAACGTATGTCGCCAACGCCAACAAATGTCTAGGATATATAGGTGGGCAATTGAAAATTTCCCCCACAGTAGCTCTCGATGGTTCTCTAGTAGAGAGGGGCACACAATTAGTCCATATGGAGATGCATATCTGTTGAGTCAATGTTATAACGAAACTGCTTATACCTTAATTTTAAATCGCACTTATAACGGCACATGTTATTCAAAGTTTCCGGTTTATCTCCATACAAACAAACAAATTAGGTATTTGTCACTTACCGAACGCCGACTTAACAGTCATTCTAAAGCAATACCGTGCGATAATATTCCGGACGCCACATATATTGCTGATCATTTAGGAACTTTGTGGTATATCGACCGCAATGGCACTGCGTCTAAAACCAATTATACCAAGACTTATTTACCAGCGTTCTCCAATGCCATACTAAAACTTGGCGATATTAATCCCCGATTATTAAGATACATTCCAGAGCCATTTGAAACATTTTCACTCCTTGATGTTCTTGCGCAGACCCAAGAAACAATAGAACAATTAGACAACATACGAGCAGCAGACGAGGGTAATAACGTCGCATTAGGCATAGGCAAAATCATTGGCATTACTCTATCAGGTATATCTTCCGGTGGAAGTCATATCATAAAGGCTGTAGGATCAGCGTTACATGACGGATTAACGGGCCTTGGCAATCTCGATGAAAAAGTCATTACCAGCTTAGGCAAAGCCACAGGAAACGTTATAGATTCATCCGGTCGCGCATTTGAGCACGCTGCCCGTGGCGCAGGTGGATTCTTTCATGATGTTTTGGGAGGTTTAAGTGGTTCCCTACTCTGGGGTGCGCTCGTACTTTTGACAGTATTCTGCCTTTATCAATACATACTGAAACAACGGAACTGTTTTCAAAAATCTGATACATCAGCTGACGTTGATCAAACTGACATTAACCAAGGTGACGTTGACGTTGAGATAAACAACGATCAATATGAGTTACAGGACATGACAATGCAGAACGAATGTGTAGATTGTGGGTTGCCCCGATGCCCATCCGTTTCTAACAACTTGTCCCAGGAGTCATCCGTTTAGGAAGGCAAGCAGTTTCGCCCCTGCCTTCATGTAAATAGTTGTTTTCGTCTATATTGTGCTACGCTTAGTAAACGGAATATTCTAAATTGTAGATTACCCCTTGAGGTACATATAGGCATAAGAAATTATATTCAGATCAGTTGTATCTCGTCGTATAATCGATTATGTAGTGTTGTCATAGATTAAAACAACACGTGCTATGTGTATAGTCTCAGTTATTAGGCATTTGGTAATATGCCCGTGATAGCCACGCCGAGCTAAGAAAAATAGTTGGGAAATTGTAGAGACATATATGTATGGTATTTAGTTAACTTAAGTCGTTATAGCTCACACGAAGCTGGGGACAGCTTATTCTAGGTGAGGAGGATTGTTACGCAAGGCTTTATTATGTTTAGTTATATGCATACAAAAATAGTATAAAAATAGGAAATATCACCTGCCGCATGGATGAGTAATTGATTATTGCCACAAAATGCATGGGTAAAATAATTTTGGCCTTTCGCAAATATCAATTATTTTTCCTTCTGCAAGCTTGACAGTTTGAGTAAATAATTAATGTAGTATTAATCTTAGTGTCCATCAGTTTGACCGATCTGTCGTTTTTAGGTAAACAGTGGGTTTGGGTAAACATGTAAAGTTCATACCTTAAAAGCCCAAGCGAAGCGAAATTTTATCTAAAAAACAGGATGCCTTAGGCAGCTGCAAAGTTCGTATCAATCAATTGTGAAAAAATAATGCGCGGTCGAGCATTTTATGGGTTACGTCAGAGAAAGTTTAAATCGATTAAAGTAGTAGTATAAATAGTTAAGTTATAAAAAAGGTTCACAGAAACAATGTTTGATAGTTTTAATGCATGTGTGATGAAAACATTTTAAGTTGTGAACAAGTTTTAGTATTGATCGATTGAGCGAAAGACCAACTCGACCACTGCGTCAACGCCTTAAATAAACAAAATATGAGAGCTGGAGCGAGCTTCTAAGACCAACCCACTGATTACATGTACAACGCTGATTGGCTGGATAAGGATCAGCCCACTTGGTTGATGACGTATGCAAGAGTCACTGAACCCTCATTATAAAAGGGCGTGCACAGCACCTGAACCTTCAGTGGACTGACGGAGTAAAGATTAACTTAGAAACGTTAGAAAACTCAACCTTTACAGAACCAACGACCGAACACAAGAACGCAAAACGACGAAGATCGAGAAGTAGAGAAGAGAAGACGGAAGAGAACATATTGAACTGTAGTAAAACCTTGTAAAGATCTCCTACCTCGCGTATAGAGAAAATAAAGACTTTCTAACACACCCTTTCGAAACTCAGTTTCTGAGCATCAAAGAGACACATTAAATTTTACGCCGTTTTTGGATAATTTGGCTAGGAGTAATGGTTCTCCTAGCCGCTTTATTTCTGTTAAACAAAACGATATTTATTAATACATTGCATTAAAATTTCAAATATTTACGCTCAGAAAAGGGTGGAGGCAAATTACCGCCAGCACCTGTAGATACGGCCTACGACTATCACTAATTAAGATATAACGTTCCTCCCTCTATATATATATATATATCAGCTATGGTAAATCGTCCAATGTACATAATTGTTAGCGGAGGCTTTGGGGAGGAGATGGGTTTCAACTTTAAAGGAGCTCTGTCTTTTGCGATGTCACGCTTAAACTGACCGTTTGTGGTTTGGGTATTCGGTCTTTGTTAGTTTTCGATTTTGCTGCTGGCCATTCACCACCTTTCCCATATTGTGTGCCATCCATTACCTGTCGGTCTTTTAGATAGGACGCAAAGCCCATAATATAAGACTTTAATTATCGTCGGCAAGGCGTATGCCATTGGGGTACACCTTGCCTTAGTAGTGTATTTATTAAAATCACATTACATAAATTTCTTATTTCCTTCGTAAATATTTTGTTATACATGTTTAAATAAAGAGTTCCCTTAGAAGACGTGCTTTAATTGCAAATGTTAATTTGCCCATGCATGTAGAATGCGATAATGATGATTACTTGACAGCCTCTGTTTCTTTTCCATATTAGTCTATCTACGCAGTTCGTATTTTCTTTTAAAAGCATGCAAGTTATCCTTAGAAGAAAAAAGCAGCCATTTCTGCTATTGCGGCGGGCGCAAGAAGCTTAATTTCATTATATTTATATAACCTTGCATGCTTTCCATAAATCTAAATAAATCTAATCAAGGTCATGCGTGCTACGGAAGGTCGTGTTATAGTTGGGCATAAGCAGCAGTGGTGAACGTGTTTACAAATACTCTTCTTGGAACGTGGTAGACATAATTTCATTTTTCCACCCACACACGGGCTCTGATATAATTATAAGGCTGAGTTAGTTTGACCGAGCTAGGGCCTAATCAGCTTCACGAGTTATTAACAGGATCCGATCACTGAGAAGAGATTTCGAAAATGTTGTTCCTTTTTTTCGTTAGTATTTTTTGTATCAGTCACGGCGAAGCAATTTGTTGTGAAGAAATCAAGTCGATAATTGAAAAGAAGATTGAAGCAGAAAATATACTATGTGCCACAGGAAACAATCTCCCTCCAGGCTGTTGCGAGGATATTTTCAAAGCAGTTGAAGAGTATAATGCTGTGTATGAAGCTATTTGTACGGTGGCCCAAAAGGGCCATAGCATAAATACCAATAAATCAACGCATTCATTATTAAATGCACGCGAACAATTATACACACAACGCAAACAAATAGTCACAACGCAAGTAAAAATAGTCACAACGCAAGTAAAAATAGTCACAACGCAAGTAAAAATAGTCACAACGCAAGTAAAAATAGTCACAACGCAAGTAAAAATAGTCACAACGCAAGTACAAATAGTCACAACGCAAGTAAAAATAGTCACAACGCAAGTACAAATAGTCACAACGCCGTGTTGAAAGCGAATCCCTTCCTACTACCACCTTTTGGGCAATATTTCCTAGCAAATTTGTTACAAAATTTGTTACAAACTCCTGATCGAACGATCAAATATAGTCTGTAAAAGGTTACGAATTGACATATAAATTAACCACTCATTGTGCTAATGTGGTCCTTATACATCCGTACACCTCCCTAGGCTTCCTTAGCCCAGAGTTGCAAAAAACTGCGCGTACGTGGGTACCACACGTTAGGAAGCGGTTTGCTTTGAGTGAGGTTTGTGAGGAAGGTTCAAAGTTGAACACCCAAAAACAAATATTTCTTTTGTTGCCAATTGACTCAGTGACGTTTTAGGAAGGTTTTCAAAACCGGAGGAAGGTTGAACACTTTTTGCAACTCTGCCTTATCCCTCCTTACGAATTTTTTTCACCAAGGAGGCCTAAGAAGGCTTAAGGAGGGATAAGGAGGGGCTAAGGAAGTCTAAAGAGACCTAAGGAGATGTAAGGGGTCAGAGGAGGTGTAAGGGAGAAGAGGCCTAAGGAGATGTAAGCAGGCCTAAAAAGGAGGCAAAGAGGTCTAAAGAGGCCTTTAGAAGGTATAAAGAGCCCTAAGGAGGGCTAAGGAGGTCTAATGAGGCCTAAGATGTCAGGAAGCCTAGGGGGGCTGAGGAGGCCTAAGGAGGTGTAAGGACGCCTGAGGAGGGTTAAGGAGGACTAAATGGAGGAGGAAGGCTGAGGTAGGCTGAAGAGGCCAAAAGGGGCATGAGGGCTACGCCTCTGTTGCTATATGACAACGGTTCCAAGCGAAAGTTCGAAATAGATTTCGGCTCTACATATGTTGCCTAAATTGCCTAAATGTTATATTAAAGTTTAGGCTTCTAGCCAAACATCTATATGGCTTAATATCCCGGTTCAAGATGTGTATTTGACAATTTCAATTAACTGGGAGCCACCTTAAGAAGACCAATCATTTGTGATACACTATAATAGTGGTCACATAAAGTAACTGGCTACAAGCAGTCTACAAGTTATAACATGGCTGACGCTTTGAGAGAGATCATAGAACATTATTTTAATCTTGGATATTCAAATACAGTAATTCAGCAGTTTCTGTCAGCTTACCATAATATTGAGATTTCTATACGCACCCTTAAGCGAAGGTTGCATGATTGATGATTTCCATTTAAAAGAAATGGAAATTTAACAGAGCAAATGTTTGAAAGAACGAGAGCGATCATTGAACGCGAAATCTCAAATGAGTCTAGCGCGTCCTTGGGTTACACAGCAAAAAATGAATTTCTTAAGAAATTGAATTTTCTTGTTTTAAAAAATACTTACTTGTTTCAAGAAATAATTTTCTTATTTTGAGAAAATATTTTCTTAAGATATTTTTCTTCTTAATTTGAGAAAACATTTTCTTGAAATAAGAAAATTATTTCTCGAGAAAATATCAGAGATATCACTTTCTTATAATAAGAAAATGTTTTTCTTAAAATGAGAAATTGTTTTCTTAAGAAAATATTGAGATATCAATTTCTTGTTATAAGAATATATATTCTTAAACTAAGAAAATGCTCTTCGCATTAAATTTGAAGAATTTCAGCTGAGTAAACTTCAAAATTACTTGTGTTTCAAATGTTCGTCATTGTTGAAGTTTGTTGATTTCAGAGAGTTATATGGTTCATATTTTATTGTTTTTCGTTCTGATCATTGCATGATTTTATCAATTTAGCTAATTATCAGTATGAGTAAAGTGCCCTAGTTAACAATGAAGCTTTTCGTACTTGCACTTTACAAGCATGGCGTGACATATTCGGTCAAGAACTGTTAAAATAGAACAAAGTCATAATATAATGTTTGCAAAATGCTGTTTTCATTTACAGAAGCGTGAGATAATTCAAAGCATTCAAAGGTTTAATACTGATAATTGTATGGTCCAGCCTGACGCAGAGCATGATTATTCCATTTATCCCATTATGCCTTTCGAGCGTAGACCACGAGGGAAATTTGAATACTTAACGAAACAACCTATAACGCTATTAACGCATATTAAAGAAATATTGTTTTTTATGGCGGATATGGCATTTGTATCTTCTTATTAACTTTATATATTACCGATAAAGATATGGACGTTTAGGATGTGAGAAAATATACACTATATCGGCTCAAATTTGTGGTATTTCATAAGGTGAGTTGATGTTTCATG